CGTTCGCAAAGTCTCGCGGCTTACGGGAATTGTTGTTGTCATCGTCGTCATCGTCGTCGTCGTCGTCGTTGTCCTTCGGAGATGCTTATGTTAAAGATACACTTGCCGGAATTAATGTACAAAATTTGCGAGACGTGACACGACGACGACGACGCCGCCGCCGCCGCCATAATTAATGTCGTTAAACAGGCAACGCGCGTTGAAACGGCGCCTAGGACATTACAAAAAAAAACTAATATAAAAACATCGCACACTGTTTCTCGGAGAGCTGCGATTATATGGCGTAATCATCGCCATTGCGATAATTATACCACAGAATCGTAACCGGGACTACTGGCTTATCTACGATTACGATCTTCTTTCATGCAATCCCGCAACCGAACACAAGACACGTTTCGAAGAAGTACATCTACATCTTATTTATTTTTTTTTTTTTTTCCGTGTTTCAAACGTATGTAATTTCTCAATGCTATTATTAGGTTATCATAATTCTCCTTTCAGCCAGCATTTGCAAGCTGAGAATTACTTAACGCCGAAGAGCGAAGAAGAGTGCGGCAATTTTCGAGTTTCTATTTTTCGAGAAGCGCGTATATACGCGCGGGGACACACATCGAACGCGCGTGAACACGTATGTAGTTGCAGCAAATGAATACAAAGAAGTTGAAGAGACTCGACTTTTTTCGCAAATCGCAATTTAATAAACGCGCATTATTCTAACGGTACTTAACCGCTGAAAATCGTTGGTTATAAAGCAGACTCCCTCCCCGTCTCGGCAACGACTACCGAGAATCCAGGAAGAGAGCGCGATGCTACAAAATGATGCATCAGAGGAGGAACACACCGATAATATTGAAGAATATTGCGAGATTACTCGCCGAGTCTATTCTTAGCTCAGCCTCGAAACGGTCTCTAAGAAAACTAAACTGTTTCCGCTCAAACAAACTGTATATATGTATGTATCTATATATACATATATAGCTCCGAGCACACGTAACTATTTATTTAACTAACTTTGTAACATAACTTTTATTTATTTCTTCGAGAGAGAAGAAAACACAGATAATGTAATTTAAAAAACAAAAAAATAAGATCTTATTAAACTAATAATATATGAATATAGGGACATGAAGAGCCGTTCGCAGGAATCGATTTGTCACTGATTGTTTAAAAAAATAAGATATTTCAAAAATTAAATTAGAAGGTCAAATTCGAGCACATTGAAAGAATGTTTTAATTAATCTATTAACATTACAATATTACAATATTAACATTACAATGTTAATGGATTAATTAAAACATCCTTTCAATGTGCTCGAATTTGACCTTCTAATTTAATTTTTGTTTTCACAATACGAGCGTTTGTTTTATTTTTTCATTTTTTACTTTGTGTGTAAGATATTTCAATTATCTTTGCGTCAATAAACCATAAATATGCAAATTTATTTCCCTCAGATTTCTTTTTTTTTTTTTTTTACAAAGTGTTAAAACTACGACGATTGATAAGTATTCGAAAAGGTGAACGACAATTTATCGGGGATTGAAATTTATTTATATTTTATTTTTCAATATAGTCGCCGTCTAACTTTGATACATTTTGATCGGGCGTTTATCGAGAACAGTTATACTGCTCTAGATGGAGAACGATTTCTCGAATTTCAACATAGCCATTTACGACTTTGTTGTTGAAAATTTCTTTCCACTATTTTTTTTTCAAATTCGGAAATAAATGAAAATCGCACGGGGTCATATCTGTCGAATAAAGACGGATGAGCTATTTGAAGTTCAACTCGAACTCTAAATTTTCAGCACTGCGATAGTTAAAGTACTGTCAAAAATAACTCTGAGAGCGTTTATCTTGGCGAGCTGTCGCCATAAACACTAGGTGCGATAATGATCGTCTGATGTTTTCTGAAAGATGAAACTTCGTCCACAACAATGTGACACTTCTATCGTTACCTGTGCGTCGTTTCGGATACTTATCAATTTTGTTCCTCGTATTGTTAAACTCAAGGTAGCGACGAAACAAAACTTAAGGGGAGGTCATTGATCTCGGCGCGTAGAGAAGCTACAACATCATTAAGTCATGAATAATACATACTTTTTTGTATTAGTTAATTATTCACGACCATGTTTATCATATAAACGAACGTGCGAAATAACGGATCTTCCAGTTTGACGGATAAAATAGAAAAAATAATTTTACCAGAAACGAGAGAAAAATTACGTCGGTATATATATATATATATATATAGCATTTCTGATCGGTGTGAAATATCGTTAACTAGATGCCAAAGAGACGTGAGAAACAGAGAGAGTGTGCGTTTTATCGTTAGTGTGTTGTGAATAATAAAAACTTATCAAATCTTTACATGTGAATTAAATAATCACAATTATGTGAATCAATCGCGTCTTCATCACGTAACCCTAAACTTAAGAAGATCGAGCAAAGATTAAATAAAACAAATATATTTAAAAATATATTTAAAAATATATTTAGAAAATATAATTAAAAAATATTAAACAAAATATATTTAAGAATATTTTAATAACCATTTTTTCCGCGTCGAAATTATTTCTTCGTTTTATTAAACGTCTGCCAACGTTTGCTGAATGTAAAAACTTCACAAAACTAATATATTGTGCTATATATATATTCTTGTACTCGTTTTCTCGAAGTTTGATCCAAACTGTCTCGCTTAAATAATTATTTCTCGATCGCAAATGATACATTTTGACAAAATAATCAACAACTTTTGTCGGGGAATTGTTACACAGAAGAGAGACTGATGTGTAAACCGAAGGTTTATGTAACAGTGGCTATATACTGACGCGTGTATCGCACGCGTATGCGATTCATCGAGCGTTCCACGATGAGTCACAGAAGAGCAACGAAGAAGATGAAACAATTTACCTGATGGCTCACCTGATGGCTTATCGAGTTTGCGATATATATTCGCGACAAGCAAAATAATACACAAGCGTTTCATTATAATGGGAATTCTAGGAACGGACGCGAGTAAAATTAAATTTCTTGTCCGTTTGTGCGCTTTTTAATTTTTACTTGTTTTTGTTTCTTATTTTTATTGTACTAAAATATATATAGTAAAAAAATGAATATAAATATTTAGTAAATATAAATATAAATATAAGAATTTCAAGAACGGACGCGAATATAAGTTAAATTTCGTCTCCGCGTTCGTGCGCTTTTTATTTTAACTTCACTTGTTTTTTTGTTATTTATTGTACCAAACTATATTTAGTAAAACTACATAAATATTATAATAGAAATATAAATATTTTATAATGGGAATTCTAAAAACGGACGCGAATAAATTAAATTTCGTCTCCGCGTTCGTGCGCTTTTTATTTTAACTTCACTTGTTTTTTGTTATCTATTGTACCAAGTTATATTTAGCAAAAAACCACAAATATTTAATAAATCAAAAGGATTTTTTAACGGCTATTATTGCACATTGTTATATTACGTGTATGAAAAATGTGCATTTCAAAATATTCGCGCGAGTAAAACTTAAAAAATCGATCTCTTCTATTTTAAGAATCAAGCAAAATTTAGACACACATTATTTCCGCACTTCCGATTTATTTTAGTTACGTCGTGATTATTTCTGCATCGGTTCGCAGAGAGTCGATCGATCGCGGGAAAGCGATCGATCCCTTTAAATGCATTCAGGGTCACCCTCTGTCACGGACCGCGTACAGTCCTCCCATTCGCACTTCCGCTCGATATGTAACCGAATGGTCCCAAATGAACGCTTTTTAAAACACAAACGCGAAACACGTCATGCGAGGTGTCCGCACAGGTGCGTCCTCACGGCGATTACTCGCCGGTCGAGCAGAGAACGAGTTGCGCGCTTAGCAGAAAATGAAATAACGCAAAACGATCGACAATGAAAAATTCTAATTGAACGCAAATATCTCAAGGTTCTTCAAGGTAGGCAGGGTACGAAGGTGTAAACGCAAATTGCTATTCCAACGACTGTTAACAGTCGTATATAATGAGCGCAATAATAATCGCACAGGTTTCGGTCTTAACGAGAAAATCGCGCGCCGGCGATCTTTCTCAAAGATTGTAATTTATTGCAACCTTTCTCCGCGTTTCCCTGTCTCTCTCTCTTGTGTGTTTGCCGTTTTCAGAAGATAATGACTAAACTACGCGTTTATTTTAAAAACATGCGCACTTATCTCTCTCTCATGAATTCTTATATACTATTCCGTATATATATACGCGCCGTAATGTGGCGTATAATGAGGCAATATGTGAGAAACGTATAGATGAAAAACAGAGATACGCGAAATATTCCGAATATTGTTTAAACTTGTAATACGATTCTCAAAGACGCAAACTCTCTCAGCGTACAGAAAATCTACAAGGGCGGCTCCGGGATTTTGCTCGAGATGACTCGCGCGTTAATTACAAGAGAGATAGAATTAATCCTGTAATTGCGACTCGGTCTCACGCGCATACAATTGTTGCGAGCGAATCGCACGCAACAAAGAAAACCGATCAATTAATGTCATTAAAAAAAAAAAAAAAAAAAACAATCATTTCTCGATTGCACGCATCGAAGCGTTCAAGACGCGATCCCACTGGGTCAGCAATACCCGATCCGTTCCCGAACTCAAAGATCTCGGGACGTTTTGGATGACGGAGCGGAAAAGAACGAAGGAATCGAACGAGCGAGCCGAGCGAGCGAGCGAGCGGAGGCCCCGAAGCCGATCGAAGCGAGAGAGTAAGGAAGCAGAAACGCGGTGTAGGAGGAAGAGAAAGAGAGAGAGAAGAGGTGATAAAGAGAGACGAGGAAGGAGAGATAAGATAGGTAGGTGGAAGCTTCAAGAAGGGCGAAGAGAGAGACGATCGAAAGAGGGGCCCCTCCCGTGAGGTGGCACGATCTGACGAGAAGGGTCGGGGGCCCCCTTGCACGATCCTGGCCGTCCGCGCCGGTCACGGGTGGGTAAATGGGTATATAAGCGGGGCCCTGGCGATTCCATCTCGACACACGACCCAACCTTCATCCCGATCGCCAACGGTCCCTCGCACACGAGCGTACAGTCCGCACGCGCGCGAAAAAAAATCAACAGAGAAAAGACAGAGAGAAGAGAGAGCCCTCCTCTGCTCGCGGTTTCTTTCTCGTTTCTTCTTCGATCAAATCGCGTCGATCGACAGTTCGCGCGAACCGGTGAGAGAGCAGAACTTTGGGAGAGCCGCCGCCGAGAGAAGAGAACGAAGAGATCGCCGCCGTATCCGGCAAGTCGCCTGGGCAAGAGTTTTTTTCCCCGGAGGAGAGAAAAAAAGACGTGAGTACAACACACAACGCAACCATCACCATGTAATCCGCGTTTCTCTTTCGCTGAGAGAAAGAGAAGAGAGTTTTGCAACCCCCCTCGACCGAAGAAACTCTGTCGCGGCGAGAAAAGAAAAAAAAACGGTCTTTCGAAAGAGGAGCGCAAAATAAGGTTTGTTGTTCGCGTTCGGATTTATTCGACTCCGTTGCCTCGCGTTTCGATATGCTTTCGGTCGGTCGATCAATCGAGACGCGGGAGCAGAGAGTTTCTTCGTCGTCGAGCGTCGCTTTATTTATTGTGTCGTAAGCGACCTCGAGGATACGCGCCGGTCCGTTTATTATCGCGTCAACCGTCAAAAACGAGAGGAACGAAATATCTCATCGATTCGATCTGACGTCGAATTTCGTCGAATTTTTTTCCGAGACGAAATCTTTCGTATTCGAAATTGTTACGCGGACTGGTCGATCGAGTTCGTTTTTTTTTTTTTTTTTGATTGAAATCTCGAGTCGGTGTGACATATGTATGTGCGGTCGCGCGACAAGACGCGGGTTGGTTGAGAACTCGGAATAATCAGCATATCAGCCCCCGCACGTTCGTGTGGCGCGGGAGAGAGACTTTTCTCTCGCGAAGCGAATTGCAGTTTCTTTCGCAATACGCGTAGGATTCGACACTCGCGACATAGTCGCAGTCGCCGCGCGCGCGCGCGCTGCGGCTTCGTCGTCTCCGTCGCGCGACGGCAATAGAGACAGTTTTGAAAGTGGAGCGCGATAATGCTATTGTTCGCCGGTCGGTAGAGGTTGGTATTCCGCTCGTTCAATTAGCCGGGGTGCGGCGGACGGAAATTTTTCGAAATAAAACGAGACGGCGATAAACGCTTCGATAAACATCACCCTTTGTTTGTCACAGACGATTGCGGGAACCGCAATCTCGTCACGTAATCATATTTATCTGCGGTTAATTTTGAACGTTTATTAATTTTTGAAAAGAGGAAAGAGAGTTTCTAGATATACGAAGACCCCAGTATCAAAAGAAAAATCACGCGCTTGTGCATTTAATTGTTAATTAAGATTTTTTTTTTTTTTTTTTTAATTTTATTTCAACTCTTCGTGTTGTGTAAAGTCTTTTTGATTTTTCTTGTCGAAATTGTCTGTCGAACAATAATAAATTGATAATCAATGTAAATTCTTGACAGATTTATCAATCAACATCGTAAAATAAATACGTTGTTTTTACGAAAAACAAGTTTAACGGATTGCGCATTAGCGCGGTTTGAAGAGAGTTAATGAGGAAGGATTAAAATTCACGAAGGAACCGCCGAGAGTGTTGCATGCCGCAAGAAAAGAATTCCGGTGCGCGAAGAGGTCAAACCGAGGGAAATGCGCCTCGCGTGCAAAAGTTACACACTCCTCCTCCGCCGTCGTTATATACATATAATTTCTGGATTTCTCAAGGAGCGACAGCGCGCGCGCGTTTGCGTAATTTCGCATCCACACGACCCTTAATTAACCGGCTTAATCTATCAATCTGCGAATTACCTGCGCCGCGACTCGTCAACTCGAGGTTGACGCCAACCATTCTCGGCAGCCATCTTCCTTCTCTTTCGCAACTCGTCGAACGCAACTGTTCGAACACAAATTGTCTGTTCAATAAATTAAACCGAAAAAAGAGTGACGTTTACGCGCGGACTTTAAATCAAAACTATACAAGCGGGGGGGGGGGGAGTACGGGGAGTATATCTCGCGACCGCGCGAGAAATTGAACAAAAGAAGCGTCGCGTAGCGGCGAGATTAGACAAGCGGGACGACGTGCTCTTTCAATAGACACGACCGGCGCAATCAGGAACCGCGCGAGAGAGGCGCTTGAAAGGCGCGAGAAGAAAGAGTGGAGAGAAGGCCTGTAATCATTGACGATGGAGCGCTTGATGGCGCGCGACTTCTTTGTAAACGTAGCACCATTATTACATCTCTGATGATCTTGATGAGGTAATCGGCGTCCATCATCTTTCACAGGCATTTCCTGCGTCTATCGACCTGAAGAGCCGCCGACCGCTTCTCGCTTGTTTGTTTTTTGTTTTGTTTTGTTTTTTTTTTTTTGTATATTCGCGACGCGCTCCTCCCCCTCGTCCTCTCTCTCTCTCTTTCTCTTCGGAGTTTCGATCTTTCTCGAATTTATTGTTTTTTACTTTTTCGAAACTTTTTTTGTTTTTTTTTTTTATCGACGACGACGACAACGACGACACAATCTCGCACGCATCGACGAACACGCGTCCGTTTTCACGTAACGCCATGTAAGAAATAATTAACGGAACGTCCATGGTGCACGCAAACAATAAGTCGACGAGTATATATCTGGTACTTGAATTGACACGCAATTAAGTTTATTGCGATGACGCGCCGTAGCCGTGCATCCGGTACAATGATTCTAAAAATAAAAAATTTCCATTTCGGAGGACTTGAATTTTATATCGGAGATCCGCCGATTCGACCGTGCGAAGTTTTAAAAATATAACTGTTGTTGATTGAGAAACAAAAAACAAGGTAGACGACTCTCGGCGACTTTCGGCAAGCAAGTATTAACGCGCATTCGAAATCGGACTCGTAATTAAGGAGAGAGAAACCAGAAGACTACTGCGAAACGCAACGCGATTCTCGAGAAGAAGTAAATAAGAACAAAAAAAAAGAGAGAGGAAGAAATCGACATTTTTTTTTTTATCTCGACGACGACGCGATGCGGTTTCGGCGAATTTTATTGAAAACGCGTTCGGCAAGTTTGTAAACGCAAGAACGTTTGCGGCCGTTGCTGGCGCAATTGCCAAACGCGAGTTTGCCCCGTAAAAAAAACTGAATCGTTTTGCCGCGTCCCGCCCGTTCACTCTGTCCCTCCGCGTCCCTTCCCTTCGTCTTCGTCGCCACTTCTCGCCTCTCGACTCTCCCGCTTGCGACGCATTCCGGTTTGTCGCAATCGCAAACATTTTTTCCGCGAGAGAGACTTGCGACAAGAGCGACCTCCGCATTCGTGAGAAAACACAAACGTGAATTTTTCGTTAGAAAATAATTTTAAACTTTTGCAATATAATAAATGACTTTCATCAATAGAAGTTCGTTGATGAAAGAAAAATCGATAAATCGATAATGAAGCGTGCAGTCTATAGACTGGAAAAGTGAGTGTGCTTTTTGTCGCGCGGCGAGTAATCGCCGCGCGTTACTTCGCCGATCAAACCGCGACAACCCGACGACGACGACGACGATGACAACGACGCGTAAATACCGCGTCATTTGTCTCCGATTTCACGTACACACGCCTACTCGCGGAATAGTCTACTGTTTCGCTTGCTTGATGCATTTTGCGTCGCAATGATCGCTCGCGTATGTAATTGTTGTCGCGCGCATAATGAAGTATGATTATGAATCTAAATCCGCGTACACGTGTAAACTTCATCATACGCGAAGTCAACGTTTCGTGAGAGTAAATGTTGATCTAAATTTAAACAAATCTCTCTTGAGAAGATTTTCATTTTAAATACAAATTTATGTACAAACCGTCGTTATTTACTTGACAGTTTTCTTCGTAGAAATATTTTCATCTCAAGAAAGCGAAGTTCCACTCTTACATGTTTCGTACAATAAAAAAGATATTTTGTGACGAGAGAGAGAAAGAGAGATAGAGAAAGCGTCATTTATTAAGCGCTTCGGAATAAGAGATCCCCTCAAGCGCAAAAACATAACAAAAAAAGTCACAAAGATAATTAAACAATTAACAATCATTAATATCAGAATAAAGTTACTAAAAAAAAGAAGAAATGATAATAAAATAAAATTTCGAAAAAAGAATAAAATACGAAAATAAGGAGAAAGAGAGAGAGAGAGACAGAGAGAGAGAGCGAGAGAGAACCGTACGCGCGCGCGTAACAAGCACGCGGGACACGCATCCTGTCATTAGTTCCATAACGTTCGCCTTATTAGATGCATTCGGTTCAATGTCACCCGTCCCTCTCCTTCCTGCCGATTCCCTCGCGGTGCGTCCATCGGCACCCAGAGCCGCGACCTCTCCCCTCGGCTCTTGGCTCCCCCATTACAGCAATTACAGTTGTCGTCCTTTCGTCTCGCGATCTCTCTACGATCGGGTCCATTCATACACACACGTTCGTTCCCCGGCCATTCATGCCGAGCTCTGTCACGACTTTGCTCGTCCTCACGTCCGTTCACGCTAACTGGAAGATTGCGCGTCTCAATGTCTTCTCGGCGTGAAGAGGCGAATTTTTACCACGCAGGGGAAGCTCGCTTGGTCATTTGTGATAAGAAGCTGTCGTTGCGCTCGCAATGAATTTCAACATTAAATTGTCAACGTTTATAAAGTGCCACCAAGAAAAACGATTCGACAAATTTAATATCGCAAGAAATGTGTCTCGATGTTGATTGGAAAGTCGGCGGAAAATATTATTCCGCGGAAGATTTGTTCAACAGAATCTTACTTAGATTTCACAATGTCGCGACGCGTATCAATTTTCAGAATTGAAAAAACTTTAACGATCGAGAGGTCCCCCCCCTATCTTTTCTCCTTTTCGAATCGTTGATTTTGTTTTTTGCGATAATTATAATCGCGACACAAATTGATTTTTGAAAAATTCGATGTGTTCTTGCAGATAAATCATGATGATAAAATTTGCTGTGGCAATGATATGCATCTTGGGGGTGAAGACGGTCATCACCATGCCGGTGGCCGATCATCACGAGGAGCAGGAGTCGCTGTCGGTTGTGCCCCTCGTTGAGAAAACCGAAACGGAGGCTCTGAAGGCGGCCGAGACGACCAATTCGGAAGCCGCGCAGAGCAACGCGCCCGCGGAAGCCGCGGCTAGCCAACCGGCGCCGCAGCCCGCCGAACAACAATCCGGTGCTCAGCAAGCGCCTGCTGTGAGGAGCAGCGAGTCGAGCGAGGAAACACAGTCGGTTGAAGCAAAGAAAGAAGAGCCAAAACCAAAACCGGCTGAAGAACCTCAAGCGCAGGCAAAATCCTCCGAGGAGAGTCTCGAGGGAAAAGAAGATCCGAAAGTCTTGGCTACAACCGAGAGTGAGAAGAAGCAGGAAGAACCTCTGAAGGAGGCGGCCAGCGAGGCAAAGGAATCGGTCCAAGCCGCGCCGCAGGAGCAACCTGCCGCGGCTCCAGCTGAGAAGAAAGCGGTGAGTTTCTTGTTTTGGCGATAAATCGATCTCTGAGCGCGAGTAGACGTTTTTTCGAGATTATAATCTTGATCTCATTTTTCACCAACCCGTCTTTCAGGAGGAACCGGTAGTCGCCGAAGGTAAGAGCGCGGAACCAGCGGAAGCGGAGAAAGTTGCGCCGATCGAGAAGCGCGCCGATGACGCCGCCGAGGTCGCCAAGGAGGAGCCGAAAGAGGAAAAGAAGTTGGAAGAGTCGCACTCAATTCATCTGAAGAAGCGAGTAGCCGAGCTAGCCGAGGGAGCAATTTCGGGACCACCAGTTGCCTTTCCTGCCGCGAAGAGTCATCAGAAGCAAAAGAGCGAACCAGTTGAGCAGCTCAAGGAACCTGTTCACTCGCCCGCGCACGCCAAAACCGCCGAGGAAAAACCCGACCGCGTAACCCGCGAGGCTGAGGAAGCGGCTGATTCCCCTGTTGCCGCTCCCGCCGCTCCTGCCGCTCAAGAACCGGTTCAACCGTTAGAAAAATCCGCTCCCGCCGCTGAACAGCCCGCAGCGGAAGCCGCAAAGCCAGCGGAAGAGCCGAAGCCCGCTGAGAAGAGCGAGAAGATCGAGAAGAGCGAGCAGCTTGAAACGGCGCCTGCCGAGCAACAGGTTGTAATATCCGGAGATCAGCAGGCCGCCAAGAGCGAGGAAAAGGTGGCTGAAGCAGCTGAGAAGGAAGCGAAGAGCGCCGAGGCTGCAATCCAACAGCCCGCGGAAGCAGCTAAGGAACAAGAACAGCAGCAGCAGGCTCAGGAGTCAAGTCAGATCAAGCGGGACACGGCGGAGACGGTCGAACAACCGCAAGCCAAGTCGGAGCCGCTTCCGGCCGCTGAAGAATCGCAGCCGAACGAGCCTCAGCAACAACAACAACAGCAGCAGCAGCAGCCGCAAGAAGCCGCCAAAGATCTGAAGGAGCGTTCCAACGACTCCTCTGAAGAAAAGACCTCCGAGGACAGCAAGGAGGAGTCCAAGGAGTCCAAGAGCAGCGAGGAAGACAAGTCCGAGGAGCAGCAGAAGGACGCCAAGGCACCCGAGGGAGCCAAGCCGGAGCTGCTCCCGAAGCCCGAGCAATAAATCTCGGACGGGCTCGATCGACGAGTAACCTCAGCGCGGTAGCAGCAGCACCATCTCGAGGAGGAAGAGGAGAAGAAGAAGAAGAAGAGAAGGAGAAAGAGAAGAACTGCTTCTCTCAGGGATCGGGACGAGCTCGGGCACCGGTCTAAACGAAGGACACGTGCACGAATTTGTCGCGAAACGATAGGAGCAAAAAAAAAAAAAAAAAAAAAAAACAAGAGAGAGAGAGAATGCGTGAATGTGTGTGTGATAGCGAGAATGCGAATCGTCAGAATAAGAAGCGTAAACGACGAATCAGAACAGAAAGTGTGTAAAATTTTTACCGCACAGTGTGAATGAGAGAACGAGAGGGAGAGAGAGAGAAAAAAAGAGAGCGCGCAAGAGAAAAGAGCGACCCCATCGACCCGATCGATCTTTTTTTTTTTTCGCGATGGGGCTTGTCCGATTTTCACGGCGCACCACGATCTCGATGGCGCATCTTCGCGGCGGCCGGGATGGCCGCGTGTGTTACCGCGAATGTCGAGCGCGAAACGATATCCTTATCGATGTAACTCTTCTTCGATATCGCGACGATCGCGCGCTCGCGAATTCCTTTCCCTTTTTTTTATAAACGGGAGACGGAAAACACACGGGCAATCTCTCACGGGACGCGACTCGCAACCCCTTCACGGGGGTTCCGAGGCGGCGTTTCCGTTCGTCCCGGCGGATATCGCGATTTATCCGCGGGGACGAACTCCAAGGCCTTTACGATCGATTTTATCTCTCATCCCGCCCTTTTTATGAAATTCCCATCCCTCCCCCCTCACCCTTACCACAACAACCACCTCCAACGTCCCATTTGAATGACACGCACCACTGCACAACACCACAATTCCATTCCGATAAAACTATACAAATAAGTAGCTCGACTCTGTCTTCTTTTTAGAGATACATGTGTCATTTATTATTATTTTAATATTATTATTATTATTATTATTATTACGATTTAGTACCAGTACCACTATTATTATTAATATTATTATTTGTATTATTGCTATCATCACACATCGTTATAATAATAATTATTATTATTACTGTGAAAAAACAAAAAAAAACAAAAAAAAAAAAAAAAAACAAATATCGACGACTTCGTTTACTCCGTTTGAACCACCATCGTCCGCATCCACGGATTATCGGCGTGTAAACGTTGCGTTGGAATTGAGAAGATTCATGATTCTATATTATGCAATATCTATCAGAGAGATTTGTGTGTCTTGTATAAAATAAAATGCTCATGGTGTCCTTCAGTTTTGTTCGAATATTATAATTTTTACATATAATTTTTAAATATACATATATATATATATCATTTTTGAGAGAAGTTGGAGAGACATATTCGAGAAGTTGAGAATACAATACACTATGGATGTTCTTCTTTGGAACACTCGGATAATTCTCTTTGCTCATTCAACAAATACGCGTGCAAAGAAATTTTTTGCTAAATAAATCCAAACCGGATAAAAACTATGTTTTTTTTATGCGAACTGAGCTTTGTGTGTGTATACATCGACGAACGATATGTGATTACTTCGAAAAAGAGCAGATAGGTATAAGAGAAAATGGCAAAAATACATCTTTGGTGATCGCACATCGAGAATTGTTTCGCCGATAATCGTCGCGCGAAAGTTGCGCCAAGCTCGCAAGACGAACAACAAACGTCATGTTTTTTTTTTTTTTTTTGTCAATCGCACAAACCTCAACGTCGCAAAAGCGTAACAAGATAACGTTGGGTGAGTCACACGCTCCAAGTGACACTTGCGCGTTTTCAAACAACTAATATCATACACACCGCGCTGTGTGGTCAGATATATACGATAATCGGCTACTTCCGTCAGCCGATAAACATCTTCGCGCTGTTCTAATGCGAAGTAACAAGGCACAACGAGCGAGACAACACCGATGACAGCGGATTGACAGCGAGCGATATAATTTCCCTTTTAGCTTCTCTGTGTGACTTCCCCTCACCCCCCCCCTTCGCAGTGTGTTCACAAACCGTTTACGCGCGCAACAAGATTCAATAAACGCGTCCTCGCGACATTTCGAGATATCTCACGATCGCGGAACGTTTCTTTGAAGATTGAATTTGCTGAAAAAATAAATAAATAACGCAGATTTTTCGATCGAAAAGCCTAAATGTAGCCGCAAAATGTAACTACGTGCTCATCAAGAGGATTTCGAGAATTCTAAGTTGAATTGAGACCGAAAGGAGCGTTTAAACAAAGACGTTAATATATTGCTCGTATTAATAACAACGGCGGAACGTTTTTTTTTAATCACATTAAAAAAAAAAAAAAAATATCGACGAGTTCGTTTACTCCGTTAAACCACCATCGTCCGCATCCGCGGATTATCGACGTATACGTTACGGAATTGAGAAGATTCAAGATTTTATATCATGCAATATCTATCAGAGAGATTTGTGTGTCTTGTATAAAATAAATGCTCATGGTGTCCTTCAGTTTTGTTTCGAATATTATAATTTTTACATATAATTTTTAAATATATATCATTTTTTTTGAGAGAAGTTGGAGAGACATATATTCGAAGTTGGAGAATACTCTTCCCCAGCGGCAAAAACAAACGATAAAATCTTTGGTCTTCGGAATAAATATGAAAAATATATGATATAATAAATGATATAATAAATAAAAATGATATAATATAATAAATAAAGACAAACAATTAAAACAAACAGGAAGAAATATTTCGCAGATAATTTTATATCATCTTTTTTTTATCTGTTGAAAATATAGTTTAAAGCGTGTCCCCTAATCGTCTCTCTGTAAACCGAGGAATTATTCGTATAGACACTCGTAAGAGAGAGTGCGGTAAAACTTAAAGGTCCGTTGTTAACGGATCGTCAAGGAACGAGTCTCAATTCGCGGATTTACAATGGCGCGCAGCAGCCAATACTACTTTCTCTATTTTCTATGCTCATTCAACCGCAACAACAAATCGACCATTCGTGAAAAAATGCACTTGCACAAGACCCCGAGTCTCGCAATTGCTCGCGAATGTCGCACGCCGACATTTCTCCGTGATGCGTCGCGGTGATGCATCGATTCGTCAAAAGGGCGAGCGATCGGTTCTGTTTGCGCGACGATCACCACCAGGTAAGTAGGTGTAAACAATGGCGATGCCATAAGGTGAGCGTACCCAGTGAAATGTCAAGGCGCGCGAGAGGGATAAAGTTTTGCAATGTGCAAACTCTGTGAGATATTGTTTTTCTTTATTGTATCAATCTCTCCACGCATATCTAACGTTACGTACATGTATATATATATATATATATACGTGTAGCTGAGTCTCTTCGCAATGGATTTATGAATAAATCAGGATTAAATGAATATTAGTAGAAAACGTACGTGCGCAATTTTATCAGCGTTAGAGCAAAACTTTGAATATAAAAATTTGAACGTTATTTTTTGTTGCAAAGAGTTTGGGCCGTATTAAAATATATTAATAAAGTATACTATAAGTAAAATATATTAATAAAATATATTAATAAATTATAATAAATTATCGAGGTTAAACATAAATTTTTATGACAAAATGCGATTTAAATATAGAATCAGAGAGAGAGAGAGAGAGAGAGAGAGAGAGAGAGAGAGAGAGAGAGAGAGAGANATTTTTATGACAAAATGCGATTTAAATATAGAATGAGAGAGAGAGAGAGAGAGAGAGAGAGAGAGAGAGAGAGAGAGAGAGAGAGAGATTATCAATCTGGATCTCTTGTTTTTTTTTTAATTTTTAAATTTTTTTATTAAATCAAAAAGCTTCATTTCTTCCAAGTTTATTCAATGTCTACAAAAACTGAATACTAAGCGTAGATATCAGTAAGCCGTTTGCAAGAGAGATTGTACTCAGTTGCCTCCGTGGCGCAATCGGCTAGCGCGTTCGGCTGTTAACCGAAAGGTTGGTGGTTCGAGCCCACCCGGGGGCGTTATTTTTTTTTTTTTATTTGGACAATATTACTTACATAGCGTACAGTAATTGACATTAATATTAAAAATTATTTTTAAATTTTTTAACATGTAAATAACAACGGTAAATTATTTTGTGATCATGTTTAATTTTTGGATAATTAATCAATCATTTAAATACATACAAAAATAGTAAATGTAATAAATAATAATTGCTAAATTAATTAATATCTGTTGTGTAACTATTGATACAAAAAAAAAAAAAAAAAAAAGAGAACGTGACCCCGACGTGATTTGAACACGCAACCTTCTGATCTGGAGTCAGACGCGCTACCGTTGCGCCACGGAGTCATATGATGGAAGAAACTTCTAATACACTCATATGCTCAGACATTTAATTGAAATGACATATTGAGACACAAATGTTGAGTATTGTCGCGCAAAGAATGTGCATTTTAGATTTAAAATCTGTCACATACCTCATTTGTGAGTAAGAAGCACGCCAAAACGCCTAATGACCACCAATCAACCTCGTGTCTGTAATATTCCTTTCTTAAAATCTCAGGTGCTGAAAAACAATAAGAACTCCCATAAATATTAAAAAAAAAAACACACAGATAAAAATAACACAGTATTTCAAATTTACATTATTTGTTGTAACATAATTTATTTTAACGATCTATTTCATAAGCAAATTACATAAGCAACAACACGTGACATTGTTCTATTTTCTTACCCATATACTGACGTGTTCCACATATTGTGTTTGTTCTTTCCGAGAAGTTTAACCATTTAGCTAAACCAAAATCAATTAACACAGCATGACCTTTTGCGTCCAGAAGAACATTTGTTGTCTTCAAATCTCTGTGCACTATACCAGCGTGGTGTAGAAAATCTAAACACAACCACATTAAAAGTAACAAACATCAAGTTTCTTACATTTTAAATAAATTGTTAAAATGACTCTTTTACCTATAGCTAAGGCAATTTCTGCCACATATATTCTAACTACTTCTTCAGGTAAACAACCATACTTGTCGACTAGTGAAAATAATTCTCCTCCAGGAATATAATCCATCACTGCAATATTGTTAATTTTCATCCGTTAATGCGCTTAGAAAATTTTAATGGCAAAATTTAATGTTTTGCAGTAATAACACCTACATATGTACAATGTCTTCCTGCCTTGCCATCTGTGAATGGAGTTTACTATGAAAGGATGATGTCCAACCATTCTCTGTATTGCTACCTGAACATAAAATATCACGTTTCTCTTCGCTATAATTTTGTTAAATTAACATTTTGTTCTTATCAAGATAAATGCCTAAATGTTTGTTTGTACCTCCTGTTTAGCTTGCATTACAGCATTTTCCGCCACAATCACAGCTTTTCTAATGACTTTCAGTGCAAAAAGTTGACTGGTATCCTGCTTTTGTATTTTGTATACTTTTCCATAAGCTCCTTTAGCTATCACATCCAAAAACATGTATCCTGTTTTCAGAGGTGGCTCCTTAAACGGAAACTCGGGTAGAAACATTGACTGGAAACGTGGAACTGGCCATAATGTTTTGGATGACCCATGAATGTCTTGTGTTGCACTTTTGCTCCAACTAAAAATTGATGAAAATAAGGTACTTAAGATGTACTTAAAATTGATGAAAATAAAATATCTAAAATTCTGTACAACATTAAAGACTATTTATTCTAGGTAATAGTATATTTTAATTACGCAAACAAAATAGAATTACTGAATAAAAGTTAAGTTTTGTTACTTTTTGTGAGAAGCACGGGACCACAATCTTTGCTGTGTTTCACTAGAAGACTGCTGTGCTGTTGTAATGCAGCTTCTGCTGAGCAAGTCGCTGAGGCTGTACTGTAAATTAATAAAAAATTATTTTGTTAATACAATATTGATCGCACAACATAGATACATTTTGATTACAAAACATTTACAATGGAAAAAAATGAAGAAAATCCAACAAGAATAAATAATTTTTACTAATTGCAACATGTGTAAACATATTGTTGGATGAGGTTAGAAACGTACAAACAGATGATACGTACCTGGCTGTCATACTTCTGATGATTGCGATAATTTCTTTTCGTGTGTAAATTGCCCATCCAAAAACGTGTTTCAACTGATCGTCGAGTTTCTCAAACGACGAGCGAGTGTTGATAACAACGAGCGATAATTCGAAAGCACCGCCTTTCGAAATGTCATTCTGCTGTCAAAGTCATGCGAAGTTCACGGATCATTTTCTGTTCAAATAACGTTACCACGCGCACAATGCGTTTGCATAATATATTGCTCATTTTATTATGTATACACATAAATGTGCCATTTTTCGCGCATTTCTTGACTATGATAAGAAACTCCCCTTTCGTAAATTATCTTACAGAAATTTAAAAACCACCAGAAAAATGTGAACGTATTATAAGCGACGTATCGCGCGTTACTATATACGCTAATGATAAATTAACTAACTTAACACACGATACGTCTCGAAAAAGCAACAAAAGATCTTTGTGACACGGCGATTTAACTCAATGAAGTTAATCGCAATTCAAATTGACGTAATCGTGCGCGGCAAGTAAAACAGTTTCGAGAAACAAAATTAAATATTTTATTTAAAATTGCCAACCAAATCACAAAGTCGCAAAACTCTCGAGAACAAAAACGTTATCTCGTTTTAACAGTCATAAAAAGATAAATTGAAAAATCTCGCGGAAATATTTACGACAAAAAAACTAAAACAACGCGGCGTTGCGTATTCCGCGCACGAACAAAATAACACGCAATTTGAATTTTTTTTTAGAACCGTCGGAATTCAAACGTGTGAATGACGTCATCACTTGACTTGTGTGGCGACGCCACTGCGAGCGCCACCTGTCGGATCGGGAAAGTTTTTCGAGAACGGCAGACTAATAAAGGTTTGAAGAATTTGCTGACGCGCAATCGATAATAACGAAAATTTTCGCGAAATATATATATATCTTCTATTTTCTGCAGGAATCGTTTTTATCGCAACTCGCACCGTGACATCAGCGTGTTCGCGACTCGTCGTCCACGTGATACTAGCGCAGTTGTTGCGACGAGTGTGGTGCGGAATAGAGTGCGGGACCTAAACCACGAGTGATTGATCCCCCTGTGGTGTCAAAAAATTGTCGGTTTTTAGGCGCGACTCATTCACGTCGTCCGCGTTTCGCGGCCGCACAACTTTCGAACGATTGTATGCCAAGTCGTGACGTCTGCGAGCGCGCGTTCTACCAACTATGATCAAATTATTCTCGTTGAAACAGGCGAAAAAAGATGGCGAGTCACCGAAAGCTGGTACCCAGAAGAAGGCATCCGCGGCGCAGCTGAGAATCACAAAAGGTTCGCTATATAAATTCGCGGCGAGATCGCGGCGCCGCGCCACGGCGACGTGTCCGACACCCTCTCTCATCAGATCCGTTGTACTTTTTTTTTTGTTTTCAGACATAAACGAACTCAATCTTCCAAAAACGTGCGGCACCGAGTTCCCGGATCCCGATGATTTGCTGAATTTCAAGCTGATCATCTGTCCAGATGAGGTGAGCGAACCGATGATTCGGTCTATATATGTTGTCGGGTCACAATGTCACACTTGCAGCTCTTTTATTTTTTTTTTATTTTATTTTATTTTTTTTCGAGAAGAGACGTCGTGATTGTTGACATTCGCAATGTCAGTTCCGACTTGAAATAAGCGGCCTGCTGCTTCAATTCAGAAAATTGGAATACATATGATTGTTTCGCAGGGATTTTACAGAGGTGGTAGATTCGTGTTTAGTTTCAAAGTTGGACCCAATTATCCACATGAGCCACCTAAGGTCAAATGCGAGACGCAAGTTTATCATCCAAATATTGATCTGGATGGCAACGTATGCCTCAATATCCTAAGAGAGGACTGGAAGCCTGTGCTCACCATCAATTCTATTGTCTACGGTCTTCAATATTTGTTCTTAGTACGTTCAGTTCTAATAATTCTATTGTTTGCAGATATTTCAGTGAAAGAACTGCATTTTATATAGTTATTTATGTCTATTTTATCTTATATACACTAACATGAATATGATATATGGCAGGAACCAAATCCTGAGGATCCACTAAATAAAGATGCAGCTGAGGTTTTACAGAACAACAGAAGGGTATTCGAACAGAATGTAGTGAAAGCTATGAGAGGTGGTTATGTAGGTTCATATTATTTTGAACGGTGTCTTAAGTGATACAGTGCCTCGCCGTCAATACTGTACATGCTTTTCCAAGGACTCACTGTAGGTGAAGAGATCCTAAAGTACAGAATGGATGCAGGATCATACGGTGTTTTCATTGTTACCTGTGTAACATTAACACTTTTACTTTCTTTATGTCCCGCCAGGCCTATGCACACTTAATCCAATTGAGTTTTCATGGATATTGAAACAACAGTCATTTGGTTGCAAAAATTTTCTCTGAATATTTGTTCAGGCTGTGGCATTATTTTTTTTTTAGTGAAAGTGCAGTGTTGAAGGAGTTGTAGAATTATAGTTTGACGTTTCACAAAAGATCATAGATGTTACAATGTGGTCAGAGAATGTTTTCAAATGTGGTTTTTTACTGTAACGCACTCAAAATATTTCCAGGAATTTTGCAAATTTTTGGATTCTGAATTTTGAAATCCATTTTGTTCCTTTTTTTTTATATATATATATGTACTTTATGAAGTATTTATTTTCTAAAGTGTGTAACTATCTATTCGTCGGCATTGTAACCTTTCACCCCGCAGCGTCTATCAATCATTTGAATCTTTATTTAAGTACATGTACAAGTAAAAAAAAACGTAACTTATGTATTGACTGAGAGTGGAATATAAGGCTGTTATAAAACTGAGAAAAATAAACATAAATAAAAAACAAAAATAACTAGGAAATACTTCGTGGCTTTCAAATACACGATTGCTTTGAAGAAAAGTCAGTAAGAGCCATTGTCTTACTAGTTTTTCTTGAAATCAGTCATTTTGTTTAAATTCTTCTTTCAACAAAAAAAAAGGATATATACATTTTACATCCTGACAAAATATGATCTCCTTCTCGTCTATGTGCGCAACAAAAAAAAAACAAAAGTTCAGTCATTTTGTTTAAATTCCTTACAAAGAGAAAGAATTACACATTTTTACATCCCGACAATATGATCTTCTCGTCTATGTACACAAAAAGCAAAAAAAAAAACGATTGATGTTTTTGTGAAACGCATTTGAATTTATTTCATACTAAGAGAAGTGAGTACGTAGCTTGCTTTATTGTATGTACAAATGAAATCTTACAGCGGCTACTAACAATCGTGAGATTACAATACAATCGTGAAATTTGTTTATGCTACAAAATTTAATTCGTTATGTTTTATAATTATTAGAGAAATGTTGAAAAATTTGTAAAATGTCTCTCGCTTGTACAGTACTATTCGAAGTAATTGATCGTATCTCGATGAAAGAAAAGATGATGAGAGAAAGATAGAGAGAGAGAGAGAGAGAGAGAGAGAAAGAGAGAGATAAAGAGAAAAAGTTCAAAGAAATTGATATATGCAACACGAAATATGTCGAAATGTGTGCCACCGATTCTTTTTTTCTTTACTTTTATATTGATGTGTAAATCAAGATGATCCAATAGTAGTATACATGTATAAATGTACTACGTCCCTCTGACGATTCTATGTGCATTTTGGAATTTACAATAATTGAAAAAAAATATATATATAAAGAGAGATAATATATAAACTTCGAAATAAATCATTTTTATACAAACGTTTGATGAAATTAATTTTTATATGTATATCTTAGAGATCGAAATATTTCCCGATAAAAATTAAGTTCTTTTAACAAGTTTATATAGTTTGTTCGAGATAAAATATTATTTCAACGACAACACGATTGTAAATTCCAAACTGCCGCGATCATATAAATTTTTCTGTTGTGTTTCACTAAACTACTTTGATTAAACAGACGTGTGGGAGAAGACTAAAATGTTATACCAATTCACAAACGCGTGTTACATAAAAACTCCAAAAAAAAAAAAAAAAAAAAAAAAAAAAAAGGACTTGGATAAATAAAAAAAAAAATGACAATTATACAACAGATATACTACATTTTC